TTGGACAGGAAAAACAGACATTTTACACATGAAAAAAAAATATTCGGTTAATTGATAACTGAATATTAATATTTAATATATTTATTAATATACTTTATCTTCATTAATAGTATATAACTTATAATGCATTTCTTTAACTATTTTTTTACAAATACATAAAAATTTAATCACATATTCTTCTGTTTTAATTTTTTTTGAAGAATAAATAAATTCAGTAATTAAACTTAAAGTTTCATGATATTTTTTTTGAAACAAATAAAAAAGTGTATAATTATATATATTATTGTATAAGAAATAATTCTGTAATACACAAAGGTCTTTACAAAAAATATGATTATACATTTTAATTTTATGTGATTAATTTTTTAACTGGTTAAAAAACTGGTTAGAATTTAAATAATTGTTGAAAATACAAATTATATTCTTCTACTTTAGCTTTATCAATATTAAAAACAATATGTTTAGAATATAATTTAAAAACATTTTTTTTGTAACTTTTACAAAGATTTTTTTTTAAGTATTTTAATGAAACTTTTTCTCCTTTTCTATTTCTTTCAACTTTTCATTCATAACAAATTTCTGGTGAATATTTAATAAAAAAATTATATTTAGCATTAATTTTTTTTTCTCTTTTCAATTTCTTTTTTAAATAATCAAGTTTTAACTTATCATTAATAAGAATTTTAGAAAAAATCTTAGTATTCCTAGTAGTTCTATCAATTAAATAGATATCATATTTGTTTTTTCTGATTATTTCAATCTCTTTCTGATAAGTATTGATTAAAAGATCTTGAAATATAAATCTATATCTTTGTATATCTTGATAAAAATATTCCAAATTTTGTTTAATTCGAAGTGACATTTCTTCGGGTAGATAAATATTTAATTCTTTTTTTTTAAAAAAAATTTTAATTCGTTTAAAAAGGTTGTTTTTTCTGAACTAATTGAACTAAAAGCAACAATAACTTTTGGATTTGTTTTTAAATTTTTAATACCCATTTTTGATTATATAAATAAAATTATATTTGGTAATAATTCACTAAATATTAATATGAAGAATAAATAATACATTTTTCAGCTTTAAATCCTTTTATCTTAATATTATCATTAATAGAATATTTTTTAGCTTGTAGATTTAAATATTCAATCATTTTTGTTTCTTTCTTTTTCTTTTGTATATTATTAAAATAGCTAAGCACCTCCTTTTCATTTAAAATTTTAATATCAGGACAACAGCTTTTCTACCAAATATTAGCTTGTTTGGTTAATAGTTTCTGTAATTTTTTGCTATTATTAATAATAATTTCTATTTCTTTACCAAATCTTCTAAAAGCCAATTCGATTTTCTGTAAATCTTGAAGACCAAGAGATTTTGCAATATTTTTATATTGAATTAAAAATATTTGATTGTTTAAAGTTGCAATTATATTTATTCCAAAGTCACCAGAATTACAAGCAATTATGTTTGCTACTATTTCAATTTTATTTAAAGATTTCGCAAGAATTTTTTCAAAATTATGACCTA